AAGTAAAAGACATGTAAGGCGAGTGCAGTCGGGCATAACCGACTACACAACACTCGTTCAGAATCAAAAATATAATATTATATAACTATATTTATTTAAATATGTTATAGCACATATAAATATTATGTTATTGCATATGTTATATATCGATTAATGCTGATTATTATCACAAGTATACTGAAGTATATTATTTACATACTTGAAGCCAGTAAGGCGTTCCAACACATGCYTCAATTCCTAATTGTTACTTAATTATTCAGTATTATGTAAACTACGTTATTTCCATTGACCAAATAAACTAATTAGATATATTATAGTTTATTATTATTTAGTTTTATTATATTTAACTAATTATATTAGCTACACATCTAAAAATTCTTAACATTCCATCGCTGTTTAATAGAGTAGAAGTGCTTGGCATTCATACAGATAAAATTCAAGAGGTGCACAAGCTAATATAGACTTTTTTAGTTTGGGAAGGCGCATAGCAAGTAAAAGTATTTTAATAATTATTTATATAAGTATATTATTCTGTTTATACCTAGAGCTCACCTTGCTCTTTATCTCTTATAGTCTTTGATTTAGCAGGGGTTAAATTTGAATATTTATTGAAATTCACGCATTTACTCTAGGTATAAATGACCATGCCACAATAAAATCAATTTTGCAATTGGCAACGTTTGTATTTATTTATTCTCATTAATAATTCTGCATTTTGGTTTTTATCATTTTGAGACTTAAAGAAAATTTTTCGTTCCACAAAATTCCAAACTTTTCGTGTATGGGGAATCAATGGAATGCGAGACAAAAGTTTCGTAAGTTGCTAAAGCATATGGAATTCAAAATACTCTGTAAATTTATTTATTAATTATTATTATTTCTATTTTTAGACTCAGATTACCATTGTTAAATCATTTATTCAAATGATCTGGAGTGTAATTTTTTTAGCTCTAGAGCTTTTAAATGATCTGATTTTAAATTATTTATAAATGGCATTACAAATAAAAAATTAAAGGGAATAAATTATCGTATAATCGTAAATCAGGTAATATTTTATTTATACATTTTCTTCTCTCAACAATATCCACTTTTTGTATACCCTACACATTATAGTGTATAACGTGATAGGCATAAATATAAATATTATTTTAATCTTTCGGGTACTGGGTATAGCATGTACATTGCGATGAGGGGAAAGGGGATTGCGGGGTTGGTAATGAAAATTTGTTTAATTTCAATTAATTCTGTTATTCGCGTTGTGTTTGCCAGTTTCGTGTGACTTATAGCGAGGGTGTAGCGCAGACAAACATGCGAACGACGACTGCAGACGTAAACGACCTTCACAATTAGCTAGCGATATATGCAATAGGTATACATATATATCCATATATACATTTTAATGTGTATACAGATGTGTGCTGTACGAGGGATATGCACGAGTCGTCAACTGGGAAAGGAAATCGACGTCAAAAACTGCAGCTAGTATAGAGAAGAAAACAGAGAGTATTCGTATATATTCGATATATGTATTCATTTTCGCTTACATACATATATACTTGCATGTGCTATAGATTCTAGATTCTATACGGTATGCTCAGGTAACAGAGTGCTTCATTTGCCTTGACATACGCAAAAATCGAGAGGCATAGAACCTGTGTTCAGAGTACAAAAGACCAACAATCAGTTTGCACAAGTTTACAAAGTAATTAAATTTATGGCAACACATATAAGTTTTATGCGTGGATGTGGCTCGGAACGGCACGGTTCGGAACGAATCCTCTTGTAATTGGACGGAACAAAATTTCCATTCATTAAAATGCTTTTGTGCAAAAAAAATAAAATAAAATGTTGGCGTCACTTCGCGTGCCTTTCGACCGATTTACATGAAAACAAATAAGAATAAGCAAAACAAAGGCGAAAGACCCAAAAAAAAAAAAAATGAGAAAATTTGTTTTTGGGTTTTCCGAGCGGTGGATCAGCGGATTTTAAAGTTGGTCATCCGATGTTAACAAGCAGGCTGCATTCCTTAGGGTTTTTAGGGTAAATAAACTGCAATGAAATGTTAATGTCAACAAAGAAGTAAACAAGAATCTATTTGCTTATACAGATTGTTTAATTTATTGTAAATTCTAAGGTAAATGTCAAGTTTAATTTCTTTTTATAAATTTATTTTTCGCCATTTAACGAATATCATCTACAACAAATTAGTACTCATGTTAAACTTTTTGTTGAATTGAATGTAAATGTTATCGTTAAAGTTGTTTTCCCTGTAAAATCGCATGCCTCATTTATCAGTTTCCATTGAATAACTAGACCTCACTATTGATAGCTTATCAAAAAGACATTCGAATAGCTAAGAAACCCTTTCAATTAAAAGTTAAGTTAATGTAAAGTGTACTGACGATGTCATTATCTTATGGCGTTCATATATATAACGTTTATTTTTATCAATTAAGTAATCCATATTAGAATAGATATGTATTCGTGGACTACCACCGAATTTGTTTTGTCTTTGAAGGCCGACGATTTGAAGTATCATTGCAATTGACCGGAAATCTCGGTGTCTGTCTTGTCAAAAAAGGCCGAAAACGAAAAATGATTATAAATAAATAAATAAAYGCGAAGCAAAGAAAATCTTTGCACACAACAAAAATGAGGGGGGAAATAACAATATACCCTCCCCGAGAGGCCGTATATATGAGACATCCAATTCTGAAACAGAAAACATACGGATCGGTCGATGGCGATGCGTAGAAAAACTAGAATGAATATTACTAGATAACTCTGCTCCTCAACATGAAAACAACTTTCACTTTGAGAGCAAAAATGCGTTGAGGAAAATTGTACAAGTATAAACGAAATATTATAAATCAAATGTGGAGACATGAAATGAAATGGAAAAAACACGCAAAAATGGAACGAGAATAATTTAATTTTTTTTGTGGTTGTTTTTGTTGCTATAGTCTCTTCTATTTTAAATTTTGTGTTTTCTTTGCTGGTCTTTTTTCGTTTTTCATTCTATTTTTTCTGAATTTTTGTTGTTGCTTTTGAGCGGGTGCTGCTTGCCAATAATTTGAAGAGGCGTTTTGCGGAATTTTCTGCAGACGTCAGGCCTTGACTGACGTCATTAGCGCGAATTTCAAATTGGAAAAAGAAGACAGGAGAAACGTGGCTCCAATCGGCTGTCCTGCTTCTGCTCGAAACATTACTTGGCCGCGATATTGCAGACATTAATACGGGTTATTTATTTATTTATTTATGAATACTTTTTTGTTGTTGTCTTGAAATTTTCAATTTGTATTTTATTTAATTTTTGTATTTTTTCTATCTCGGTTCTTTGGCTCCTCGTAAATGTGCAAATAATCAAAGCGGAGTCAAAGGCAACGGCAACAACATCAATTTGGGCTATATTTAGACGCTGTTCATTTGGGCGTGAAAAAAATGAATAAATGACAATCAGCAAGGGCGAAGGCAGAGGGGGATTCTGACAGGTGTGGCTGCTGCTTATCGCCGCGAGCCTGGGAAACGCTTTTCGTACCGTGCTTGGCGACAATTTAAACCTTACATACGTATGTATATAATTAATATTTATATATACATTTATTTATTTCTTTCTAAATATACATATACATATATATTTAATTTAGTTTTTTTGATAATTATAGCGACAGTGATAAGCCAAGTGGAGCTTATGGACCCAGGCCAATTACAAATATTGCGCACATACATCACACAATGAACTAAATATAATAAGTACGTACGTATGCATGTACATATGTATGTATGTATGTGGCTTAAAAACCTACGTACGTATATAGAAAAATTTGCAGGGAAATTCCCGTAATAATAACAACAAAGCGCCAAGCGCAAGAGCAGATACAGCTACAACAACGACGACGACGTATGCATATAAACAAAGACGTAAAATGGAAGAAAGAAAAAAAAAACACAAACAACTCTCTGCTTGCTCTTAAAATGTAACAACAAAGGCAAAATCAAGCAACATAAAAGCTTACACCAGAAAGAGCTGGGACTTGGCAGAAAAATGCGATGAGTGCAACTGCAGGGATATACCGATAGTAGCCCAACAGGAGCTAGGACAATCAAATGTTACGAAATTAAAAACTAACTCTCCTTAGAGATGAGACTGCGAATTCATCAAATAATTGCAACTGTTTCGTATGGCCTTTTATTAGATCACAAGGAATTTGATTGAAACAAAGGTTACTTTTATTTTAAACGACAACAGCCAAGTCTATATAGATAAATTTATAGATTTAATGCATTAATCTAAACAACAACAACATTTTATCAACATGAGCGTTCCTATCGTGCATTTATTACTAATGGAAACAATCTGATTTTTATTTATATTTTTTCATAGTTGTTCGATAAAAGTTTACGTGGGCAAGCTATTCGTTTTCGTTTTGTTAGAGCATTAGAATTCAAAATATTATTCTCCACATTATACACCTTAATATTTCGTCTACCCAAATGCATTTACACATTTTACTTTTATAAAGTGTCGTGTCACATTCTCAATTATCGAGAGACTACAATTTTGGCACCTGTTAGAGCCTAAAGACACAATGAGGGCCATTGATAAAAGCATGTTGGAAACTAGTGTAGGACATACATAGAAAATCAATATTTGCACATTTAGATTAGAAATTATGTGGAAAAATATAACAAATACATGCGCAGATAAAGTGTATACGTATTTAAATATTTTCACAAGAATTAAGGCCATTATGGCAAATAGGCAATGGGCCAGACCCGGCACGTCGGCCCCCGTCGTTTCTAAGCTCTGGGCCCTGTCACAGTTTTTCTGTGTTATCACTCGGTAATGGGGCGGGGGCGGAAATATTCATATAAAAATACCTACAAACAATCGCACACACACCAAGTCACGAACGAACACACATTCGCAATCGCGTATAAGCGTTCATGCGCGCACACACTGTGAAACGAGAGTGCGAAAGAGACACGTAGGGAGCGACAACAGCGACGACGCTGCTGTATTAACGGCAAAAAAAAAAAAAAAAAAAAAACGACGACAACGGCAACAACAACAAGATAAAAACCAGCCAGATCGTCTCTGTGTGTATGTGTAAGTTCGAGCGAGAGAGCGAGCGCATTAAAACAGGTGACATTGGTAGCAGCGCTACGCAATAATAGATAAAAAATACATAATTCAAATAAAATGTAAAATGCCAGCCAGGTTAAGAAATTACACGAAACATGGCCCAAAATGCAAGACCAGTGTGTACACACCGAAATATGAGCGACGCAACTTGTTGAGTGCATAAATAYAACGTTATACATATAAATTATTATTTCCGTTAATTCTATTCTACTCACCAATAATAATTATACGAATGTTTTTGGAATAGGCGCCCTCTGACTGTGTTTATCGTTTAGCACTTTGCGATTGCATCAACTTGTATATTTTCACTTTTTCTCTTTCTTGCCCTTGCTTGGCTTTCACTAATGCTTTTGCAGTTTGCTGCAAAAATACACACTTGCACTCTCACGCTCGCCTCGTTTATTTCCGTTTCGTTACGTTTTTGCCACAGCGTTTATTGGTATTTAATAATTATTATTTTGATTTTCGTTTAATTTCTACGCGATCCGATTGATCCGCGAACTGTGTGGCAAATGAAACAGCTGATTGATTGATAACAGCGTCTGTARCTTAACATTTCGATTGAACTGCTATTAACAGCGATAGTTTATGCTACTTTGCAGAAATGACGTTGATATTTTCATACATTTGGGCATCAAAATAGAAAAAATCATGGTACGAATAAAGTATAGATCTTTCCCACTGCTTATTTTCAAATAAAAAAGTTACTTTGAACTTTGTCAGCTGGTGAATCATTGTTCACAGATTCTATTGAGTCCGAAGATCTTAATCGATAGGCAGCTGTCATCTACTTATATCGATACATAAAAAGTAACTATTGAGTATATCGTACACAAATACAGGGTGTTTAATAACTATGAAAACATCAATAATAAACAAGAAATTGAAAATAATTCGACAAACCTGAAAGCTGTTAAAATAGTAATTGTCTTGAATAAATATAACACTGGTTGGTTTTCTTACAAACTGCGACACGCAGCTTGCTTGTCTTGTATTTTATGTTTAGAATAAGTGAAGAGCTTTTACACCAAACCTTGATTAAATTGAATTAATCATAAATATTATTTGAAAAATGGTTAATCATATTCAAGATACATTCGCAGATGTACAAAGACCCTAAATCAGTCCAAAGAGATAGTAAAACAAAGGCAAGATGAGAGCACCCTTCGCAGATGAAACGCCCGTCACGCCCACGATCAGCTTAAAGATACCATAGTAAAAGGCAAGCTGGAGCACCACATGGAGGCCCAAAAGACTGCAAAACAGGACAGAACGGTAAGTAATGCAAATGAAATTCCATATCTTATACTAACATCTTGTCTTTACGACGCGCTTTCTCTAGATTTTTGGGTGATTCTTTGCTCAGATATTGACGCACGCCTTGAATGGTGTTGCCGAAATATTCATCCCATGTCAGTTCTCCAATATCGATGCCAAACTTCTTTTTGTCCACAATGTCCATGGATTTTGATAGGGCCAGAAGACGTTTGCTATCGAAATGCCACTCGGTGAATATGAAACGCTCCAAGGTATTCAACGAATTCCAAACGTTTTTATGAAGTCGCATCAAACTGGGAATGAAAGAAATTTGAAAAGATTTTCAAAATTGACATCTAATCCTATATCTATATATATGTAGAGCTATCTCTTAAGCCATAAGGAATAGTAACTCACATTGGCCTACCGCCGCCAATTCTGGTTACCAAGTCCAGGAAGAAGCCGGGTATAAAGTGGAATAGTATGGCCCCAAGACGGAACAGCATAAGGCTCTTCACCAGACGCAAATTGGGATACCAGACGGCGCTGTTCAGCGGATAGTCATGCAAATAGCTATTGATTTTGTCCTTCAGAAACTCGAAGCGGAATGGCTTATATGTGCTGGACGTCAAATGGAATATCTGCAGCTCCGCGGGACGTCCTCCATTCTTGGTTCTGCAATGGTAAAGGGATTAGTTATCTGAATATACATAACTTCTAGCAATACCCACTTCAACGAATTGACATAATAGCCCGTGGTTATAATGCCATTGACCACCACATCGATGGGTATATAGTCCATAATGATTGTAGGATCCAAGGGCAGACGACGCAAGATGCCCTTGGAGGCGCCCATGAAGAAGCCCTGGGGACCGTTCTTCGATATGGTCCACCCGGGTATGGGCTCCTTCCAAGCAGCCGTGACTGCAATGAAATGAGTATGAGAGAAAACCGGGACGGCAAACGGATTTCACTTACTCATGCTGGGACGCACAATGCCGCAGGGGAACTGCGATGCCGCATTGGCCACCTCGTGCTCCGCCAGATGCTTGGTAAACGTGTAAGTGTTGGGATGGTCCTTGAGCAATCTGCAAATGAATTAGATAATTATCTACTTTCAGTTAACGGATTCACAGGGGCAACTCACTTGGGCTCCAGTTGCTTGAGCGCTTCATCGTTAAGTGTCTCGGCCAGCTGAATAATCTTTTCTGGATCGTCGGGCGAGGGATAGAGCTTCTCTTCCACATCAGTTATATAGGCATTCACATATGCGCTGGACACGTGCACCAGTGCATCCAAGTGGCGTAGTTGCTTGCACAGCTCGACGACGCGACGTGTTCCACGCAAATTGATGTTCGTCGTCTCCTTCAGCGATTGGAAAAAGTCCAGCGTGGCAGCCGAGTGGAAGACCACGTTCACGTTGTCGATCAGTGTCTCACGATCCTTTGAAGAAATGCCCAAATGCTCGAGCCCAACATCGCCTTCAATGGGCACAATCTTCGAGAGACGCGACTCCAGTTGCAGCTCCTTGAAACGATCGAACACCGAGTTCTTCTTCAGCTCCTCTAGCCGCTGCTCCACGCTCTTGCCCTTCTTGGCGCGCATGAGCAGATACAGGGTGCCCACATTGGGCACATCTCGCAGCAGCTTCTCCACAATGGTCACGCCCACAAAGCCCGTGGCGCCCGTGATGAATACATTGCGTCCTGCATAGAAATCTGTGATGGGCGAGCTGAATTGGTAACATTTGATTAGTGTCGATTGAGTGGAAATTTTAACAAATATTTATATAACTAATGCAGCTCGTTTTATTAACAGATTCTCTTGCATAACAATCTTAACAAACTTTCGCTACGCTTCAAATGCGAACAACAAAGGCAAAATTAGCCGCACCAGCAGCACTAGCAGCAGCAGCCGTAGCAGCCGCAGCAGCTCCAAGGCGGAATCACACAAGTCTGTCGCATTTCTCCGTAACGTAATGCTCCAATGTCCAAAGCACAAACCAGTTTTTTGTATATATATATGTATGTGTGTATATATCGATGTGTATATATAGTGTGTGGGTTCTAACTGCTATTTGTCGTCTGCATATTTATCTAGTTAACTAAACTCAAACTGAGCTGCGGGAGTATAAAAATAGCAGATCAATGGTACTTGAAGCTGAGTGGAACAACGTCAAAGTATTAATTAAGCAAAAATGTACTCAGACAATATGAAATATGAAAACGCTGTTGCACTGAGTTAGTTATAAATGCAAATTGTGCAGTCACGTAGTCGAAGTAGGAACAAGAGTAGCGTAAATCAATTAGTATTTGTATAATTAACTCGTTTTATGATATCGATGTTATAATTGTAATGCGATCTAAATAAGTTTGGCGAAAACATTCATGCTAGACGCAACTAGCTAGACCCAACTAGTTGTTGGTTTTTGTAAATAATTGTAGCCCAGTTATACAATGTACATTATCTTCTATTGCATAGGCTTTAGCTAACTATGCGATCTGTAGAGCCAAGTTTTTGTTTTTGACACACGCAAGCGCAATTTGAATTAGCCACTTTCGTTTTGGCCCTAATGATGGCAACGGCTCCGACTCGTCTGTGGTTGCGTCTAGTCATGGCAAATGATTTTATGTGATGTGTGCGGTATTTGTTTTTGTTGTTCGCTGATTTTATTGACTAACAAATGGCAATTCGATGTTCGAGCTGCGCAATATTTATGATTTACTCGATCAATTTGCAGAGTTGAGCTCAAAGCTGAAGACGTTGCAGGTGCAGCTGCAACTGCGGTTGCAACTGCAACTGCCTCAAGCTGCTCAGTCATTGGCAAAAGAGTTTTGATGCCAACGTCAGATTTGGTGCCGAATCTCTCGACTCTGGCTGTCAACTGAATCAAGCTTTCACTTTGCCACTTTGCCTATTAGCAGCAGGTGAGCCTCGTGGCTGGTAGCCGCAGCTTCTAACGTGGCGATAATTCGGTATATATTAAATGGTTTTATTTTTCCCTTTGCGGCTTTTGGCAATTTGCAAATTTGAATTTTGCAATGTGTTAGCCAATTTCCTACTGGGTCTTTGTATTATTCATGTTTACGTCTTGTGTTGCGGAGGCTACAGTAAATTGTCTTATTATCTTGACTAAAGCCATGCAGTGATTAGATTTTACCTGAGGTTTCCCAAACGTGGCCAAGTGGAACAACACTTATCGCGCGCAATTACTGCGCGGATTTATGCCAGCAAATTAAATGTTGAATTTATGCAAACAGGTCAGCTCTGACTCGTTCTATATATACTGCTGGAAATATATTCCACTTCAGATATGTGTGTGCCTCTCTAGTCTCTAGTATTTATAAATAGCTATAAATAACTAATTTTGCTTAATTCTAGGCTCTAGGATCGGCTATGAACTGTGAACTCTCTGGATGTGCACGACCTTATAACCAAGCATCCGATTGCTAATTGCAGTGTGAGGGCATGATTGCTAGTAATGGAGCTTGTAGCTACAGCACTTCGCAAAGGAATAGTTTTTGTGTTGGTTATACCCTGGGTCTATTGGAAATGGGAAATCCGGGTATAATGGTTTTGTGAAAATGTATGTAACAGGCAGAAGGCGTGACAGAGCCCTTAAAATATATATATTCTTTATCAGTGCGACGAACTGAGTCGACTTAGATTGTTTGTTTACAAAAAATACACAACTGCTACAGTTATTTTGTTATCGATTAAAACTCTTATGGAAAATCAATAATTAAATTAATCTCCTACATCTTTAGAGCTAGGGTCTCCAAATCTGAAATGTAAATTCATTCAAATTCCTTAGATTTTCGATTTTTCTTATAATCTCTCGTTACCCCCAAATCCAACCTTTTCCCTCCACACTTGCAAAATGAGTGTTTCAAATGCTAGAGACTTCTACTTTGACACACATACACGACATTTGGGAAGTTTTATGAAGATAGTCCATCTCCAAAAATAGGTATTTAACAATTCAGTTCCCAGAGTAAGCCCACACTCATGCGTGTGGGCTTACGTGGGTGTGCATATGTGTGCCCGTTTCGTCTCTTATATAAGCAGAACAAAAGCGAGGAATTATTGAAATCTCAGTTTCCCTAAGGGCTCAGAGCATTTCGTAGTCGAGCAGTCTCGACTAGAGTTTTTTTTACATGTTTGTTTTTGTTTTTGTATGGCTCTCAGCCACGTCGAATTTTTTGCCTGCATCGATGCCTATCCAAGCTGAGATATGTTTAAGCAACCTGTTCACGCGGCCCCAACAATTAACGTCATTCATAATGCAGCAGGCAGATATATTAGGCACACGTAAATCAAAGCTTAGGCGTTGCCCAGGTCGAAGTTTAATGGGCGTGTTGAATTTTAGTGTCGCGAAAAATGTCAAGTTTCAATTTATTTAATTCTCACTTGAAACTATGTATATTAAGATCCCGTAATGAATATAGATTGCGATTTTAGATGTTTTCAAAACTGAGCGCGTTTAAATCTATAAATTACTGAAGTTCCAATTAATCTAATTAATCTACATAGAGCCTAACTTTTAACTATTATTAATATTATTTTATATATTTTGGGGCGTGTGTGTGTTAAAACTAATTAATATTTATGTTCGATTTCTCTTCAGACTGATTTATATATTTTTTTATGTATTGATAATTGATGTTAATTTATAGTAATGTATTAAAATTTAACTTCAAGTGTATAATTAGTGCTACGACTAAATTGTATATATTAAACTGGTTTATATAAATACCGTACTAGAAAACAACATTCGTTCGCTTCGGCAATCATGTACTACTTTAAATTATTTAATCTATTATTGTTTTCGTATTGCATTTTTAATTTATAAACAAGTATATATAGTAAATGTGATTTTGATTATATAACTTTTGTATGAAATAACTAAAAAATGTACGTGCTGTATTTAAATTTAGGTCCTAAATTTCGGTGAATGTAAATGTTTATATTTTTTT